CTTGAAGCTTTGTGGCTACCAGTGTAGCAACTGTAATAGGAAGAGAGTCTCATTTTCCCAGTCATTGTAGCACAACGCTAGACTGTCTCATTGACGTGGCTTGGGCTAGGTGCATCTCTCTGAACCTGATTAGACAGATCTCAGTTATTAGTGAGGCCGCCACAAGTGTTTGTGCAGGTTATTCACTGCAAAGAGAACAAGCAGGAGCTGAGGTCCAGTGCAGGGCACACCATGTTTTTGCCTCGTGCAGAACTATATCTGCTGGAGAGGGTGCATTTTTCTAATTCACACTGTGACACCACAGTGGTTTTAGTCAAGTGCTCACCATGGAGCAAAGGTGGGATAGGGTTATCCCCACATAAACCAAATGGTCTGAGGGTGGGAAAAGGACAGTGGGGTGCCTTTGGCAAAAGACAGTAAAAGGGATGTTGAGTAGGCAAAAAAACAGCTATCCACTTCATTCCTTTAAAACATAGAAAGGCAAGGTCATAGAGTAGAGAAAACTTGGACTTGGCATCAGAAGGACTGGGTTCTAATTCTGGTTGTGGAAGCCGTGGGATATTGGGCATATCACTTAACCAGCTCCCACAGAGTTTGTTTCCTTTCTTGAAAAATAGAATTATTTTTCTGCCTCCCCCACACACTCATTGAAAGGGAAAATGAGATAATAAATGAGAATATGGTTTGAAAATTGTAAGTTTCTTACATCTGGAAGGTATTATGATTATTTATTACATTTTTTCAGTCAGTATCTTGCCCAGTGCCCTTACACATTGAAGGCTCCCATTAGGTATTTATTAATTGCCTGATCCATGATATGGAAACTCATGTCACTCTGGGTCCTTTTCCAAAACGTTATACAAGCAAAATGTTTTGGTGAAATATTCATTCAACATTAAAATTCAACAACACTAGGAACATGCAGAGCAAGCTATCTTTTGACCTCATCATTCAGATCTCAATTTAAGTATTACTTCCTCAGGGGAAACTTCATCGTTCATCCCCAGTCCCCCAATCAGGGCAGGGCCTCCAACCTGTTTCACAACACTTAACACAATTCTAGTTTAATGGTTACTTGTGAAATTCTTGTTTAATGCCTGTCTCCATCATTGGCCATGAACTCCATTGTGCAGGCACCATGGCTGTATTGTTTGATGTTGTATCCTGTTGTGCATGGTACATAGTAGGAAATTAAGAAACATTTGTTCAATGAATGAGTAAATTCATGAGATTAAGTGGAACAAGGTCAAGTGGACTAGGAAACATACATCTAATTTCCCCTTTCTGTTTTCCTAATTTTTAAAAAAATATTTACTTATTTATTTATTTGTCTGCGTGGGATCTTAGTTGCACGCGGGCTCAGTAGTTGCAGTACATGGGCTTAATTACCCCGCCCGTGGCATGTGGGATCTTAGTTCCCTGACCAGGGATCGAACCCACGTCCCCTGCATTGGAAGGCAGATTCTTAACCACTGGACCACCAGGGAAGTCCCTCTCCTAATATTTTTTTCCAAGCCCTCCAGGGACCATGTCCTCATGACTTACGGAACTGCTGCTAAGTAGAGAAAGAATGGGTAGTTGACTAAGCATGTCCCTTTAAGGACACACAATCAATGACTATTCAGAAATAAAATCCATTCACTCTGACCCATGCAAGCTACGTCTCAAAAATTCAGAATAAATGTATTATGGCAATTACAAGATGTGTAATCATTAATTTACTCTAGAATAATAGTTCTAAATTTTATACCTGTGTGTGTCCTAGTATGTCCTAATGCTTCTCTCTGCCTCAAAACTGTGACAGAACTAGGCAGTTCATTCCTGGAAGCATTACTCCCAGCCACAAATTTGATTACAGTGGTTCAGAGCAGGGAAGGAGACTTCAGAGACAAATTATTCCTTCTTACCCGCCTCCACCCTAAATTTCATTTACATAATGCAGTTCTTAGTATAAATGAAATGAGTCAGCATTGGGGAAGACAAACTGAAACGTGACTTCCATACCAAAGGCAACTTTTCTTTCTGTCAGTCTTAGTGAGTAAATGATCTTCTAAGTAATAGAATTTTTGAAAAATAGAGGTCAGCATGCAGTTAGGTCATAAATATCTATGTGCAGAATTTTTTTTTAATTTTGGTAAAATACACATAACAAAAAATTTACCATTTTAACCATTTTTAAGTACGGTTCAGTGGTGTTAAGTATATTCACATTATTCTGCACCCATTCCCCAGGCCTCTTTTCATCTTACAAAATAGAAATTCTATACTCATCAACAACTCCCCTTCCCCCACTGCCGCCATCCCCTAGCAACCATCATTCTACTTTCTGTCTGTATGAATTTGACTTCTCTAAGCACCTCATCAAGTTTCCAGAATCATACAGTATTTGTCTTTTTGTGAAAAGTGTCCCCTCCCTCAAAGCCCCAGTGCAGGCCTGGCCTCTTACTTGAAAGGGCTTGGAGTGGGAGGTCCAGGGTCTGCTCTTTCACTCTGCTCCCACTCCAACAACCTGGAAGGAGGTGGGAGGCACATTCTGGTTCTGAGATTCTCTGCATCACTCCCCTCTTTTCAAGGCTTAATTCCAATTGAGGGCTGAACTAGGCTGTAGACAAGGCAGTGGCCTTCTACGTAATTGGCTGGGTGGTGGGAAGTCCTCTCTTCCTGAGTTGGCATGGTGCCTGGGGCCATGTTTTTAGCACCAGCCTGATCCTCCAAGGATCCCTTGAAGAGAAGCAGCCATAGCTCCCTTTGGCCCTTCGAGTTCTGTCTGTCTCCATATCGTCTCCAGGAGGGGTGACTTTACTTGCCCAGTGGCCCCAGAGGCAATTCCCAGCTCCTGCCCCCCACCAACCTCTGAGATCCTTCTTATGGGACTGATAATGATAATGATCTTTTCTAGGCCCCAAAGGCTGAGGGGGACTGCAGTGAGGTATCCCCATCCTTTCCTCAGCTACTGCACATCACTGCTCCTTCTCATCTACTGGGCTAGGCTGCTCCAGAAACCTCCAAGTGGTTTGATATGATTTCAGATCCACTTGTTTATGACTAAAGTGAAGTTGTTTTAATCCACTTGTTTATGGCAAAGGCAAAAAAAAGCTGTTTTTAGAAATAAAGTTGTTTCGGGCTTCCCTGGGGGCTCAGTGGTTTAGAATCCACCTGCCAATGCAGGGGACACGGGTTTGAGCCCTGGTCCGGGAAGATCCCACATGCTGTGGAGCAGCTAAGCCTGTGGGCCACAACTACTGAGCCTAAGGTCTAGAGACCACGAGCCACAACTACGGAGCCTGCGTGCCTAGAGCCTGTGCTCCGCAACAAGAGAAGCCACTGGAGTGGGAAGCCTGTGCACCGCAACAAAGAGTAGCCCTGGCTCGCCGCAATTAAAGAAACCCCACACGCAGCAACAAAGACCCAACGCAGCCATAAATAAATAAATACATTTAAGAATCTTTCTTTAAAAAAAAAACTAAAGAAATAAAGTTGTTTTGCTATAAGAATGAAGTAAGTTGTGTCAGGATGTCATTATCTCATCTGTTGTCATCGATAAGCACCCAGCAGCTCAACTGCTGAGGGGCCCCACTGGGGGCTTATCAATAAAAACAGACTAAGAAGCAACTGTGGTGAGGAGTTTGTGAGGACTATCCGAGAGTTTTGAACTGGGCAAGGTGACTCTTTGCTGACCTAACAGCTCTCTGAAGACCCTTGGAGCATAAGCTTCTGCTGGTAAAAGTGACTCTTTTACCAGCACTGGCGAAAGCTGTGCAGGGACCCAGCAAAGATCATATTGCACCTCAACACCAGGCTTCATTCCCTAACAACATACTCTAGCAACAGGGGACTTTCCACTTTCGTTTAGCTGGCAGCTGGACATCAACTTGTGGTTGGCTAAGCCAAGTCTCCTGAGAACCAACCACATAGGAAAGATACACCTCAAATGAATTTGGACTTTCTCTTATCTCCCCTTGCCTGGAACAATAGTGTAAGCAATCTATCATCTGGAGTATGTTATTTCTTTATTGGCTTATTAAGAGACATATCCAGTATGCTATTGGCTTGTGAAATTATAATTCCCACAGTGAACCTATGGTAAATAAAATATTAGCAAAGACAGTCTCAGTCTCTGAGCATAATTTGGCCCCAAACAAAACACATCTCTATCTCTATGTTCATCCCTGTCTCTATTTCTATATCTCTCCCTGAATAGATATGCAAGAAACTGGTAACAGTGATTGCTTAAAGTAGGGAGTTAGGAGTCAGTGAGAGGTTTACTTTTCACCATATATACTTTTATATTGTTTGAATGATTTTTTTTGAGGGATATATATATATGAAGGTAATGAATTCAAAAGAGCTTTGTAAATCATACAGCATCGTACAAATATGAGGGTTTTACTGTTACTAGTATCTACCAGCAACAAGATCTCAAGCATGAGTCTTTGTGAAAAAGTTGAATGACTTAATTTAGTACTACGTATGTTAGAATGAGTCCTTTTAATTAATTTATTTAAGTCACTCTTTGAAATATTTAATGACGTTGGCAAATACTCGAGGTGAGTGGAAAAAAATACAAAAATTGCACAGGTGTCTGATTCCAATTTTGTGTATTCCCTGTGTAAACATACATATATAAAAACAGACCGTAAAGAACCTTCCACAGTGCTTTGACGGGGAGAGGGGAAGCATGAAGTGTTAATTTTCTTAATTATATTTTTCGATATATCCCACATTTTCTACAACAAATACTATTTGGAAAGAAAAAAATCACAAACCTTCAAACTTGGCCAGAGATGAATTTTTTAAAATTTCGTGAGAATGATTTGTTGCAGGACGGAAGGAGACAGGCGAGCAGCCATGAGTAGTGCTAAGGGAAGCATGGAACCCTCCTTCCAGGCCCGGAAGTCCATTAAGAACTACAAGGAGAGGCGAGAGAGATGCTGGCCTCCACTACGGCTAGAGCGACCGTGAGAAGACACAGGAACTTCCGGGGTGGAGCTCTCTGGTGTTTTCATTTCCGTGGGGGAAATGTGGGCTGCTGGCGCCGTGAAAGTTAGCGGTTGCTTGGCTGCCTTTTCCGTCACTTTGAGACGGTGCTTGAAATTGGGAGCGGCAATGGCAAAGAGCAAGTTCGAGTACGTGCGGGACTTCGAGGCTGACGACACATGCCTTGCCCACTGCTGGGTGGTGGTGCGGCTGGACGGCAGGAATTTCCATCGGTGAGCGAGCTGGGCTCAGGGCTGCGTGGTTCGCCAGTGCTTCCAGAGAATGCGACGCATTTGTCGCAGCCCCGAGCTCGTGGTTACCGGGGTAACTCGGCAGCCAGTGAGCGCGCGGCACTGAGCATCACTCTGCGTGCTGGCTACAACCGGCTTGAACGCGAGCTAGGTGGGGTAAATGAGACACGGTGCTTCCCTAGTGAGGAGCTGGCTTGGGGTGTCCGTTAGCAAGACTGTGGTGGAAAAAGCCACTCTCGGGCCCATTATTTCAGCTCTTCAACAAATTGACAAGCTATTTTGGTAGGTATCTGAGGGCTGAGTGTTTTGCGGCCCGTTCTGGCCTCGCTGTGGGCACCACTGTAGAGTATGTTGTTTCATTATAAGTAGCAGAACACATGGACTGGATTCAGGAGGGAAAAAGTCAGAAAAAAAGAAAAGTGTAGCAGGAAGATGGGAATTTAAGTCTTAAAAGTGTTACTTTAGTAATGCTTATTGTAGTTAACATTTATTGAGCACTTCCCAGGAGCCAGGCATAGTTATATTTATCTCCCTCTCATCTTCAGGAGAATCCTATGAAGTAACTTTATCCCCATTTCACTGAAAAGGGAATGGAGGCTTAGTATTTATGTTACTTTTTCTCAGTTGGTTAGAGCAAGAAAAACTAGAGTTCTTAACGAAATGGATCAGGTTGTGGCTACTGGAATGTCTGGACTCACAGCACACTCACAGCGCTCTTTGAGTAGCCCCTTTGATCTGTGGTATTAATGACAAGCTCTCTTCCACCCATACCCTTTTCCCTCTTCTTTCTCCCTTATGAAGGTTTGCTGAGAAGCACAACTTTGCAAAACCTAATGACAGCCGTGCTCTCCATCTAATGACTAAATGTGCCCAAACCGTAATGGAAGAACTGGAGGATATTGTGATTGCATATGGGCAGAGTGATGAGTACAGCTTTGTGTTCAAGCGGAAAAGTAATTGGTTTAAAAGAAGAGCCAGGTAATTTTGTGGCCTAGCTCCTTCAGAATATTTCCTACCAGCATTTGGCTTCTGCTTATCTTAATCACAAACTTACAGACTGTAGTATTTGCAACTGCAGAATGTATGTATATAACAGGTTAGACTGTTGTACTTGCATCTGATACCTGAGCATTCTGTATACCTCTTTAAGTTTTTCTCTGTATTCGCCATCACCTTAGCTTCTAGACTGATCTGGCATTGAACATTAAGACTAGAAAGAGAAACTAAAGTTTTAGTTAAGGAGGTTCTCAGTACAAATTAGACAGATCTGATATTTGATTTGGCAGTATATTGAAACTCTCACAGGAAACAGATCACATAATGAATTGGGATGTTTTTAAAACAATGGTTCCCCGCCTTCCAAGACTTGAAAAAAAACCTCTTGAACCATAAGTTTACGTCACACGCTATGGAATAACATTTGACATTAGTAAATTACTTATAGGACTAGAAGGAGAGACAGGCTGCATTTTAAATATATAACTGAAATACTAAAATAGTTTTTCTTGACCCATCACTCTTGGCTTGCTAGACAGTTTGTGTTATCTCTCTGTTACACCCACAGACCCTGTCATGGTGTTGAATTAATATCATGTATTTTCTCTCTTCTTGCTCCACCCACTGTGCCTTTTGCAAGTAAGTTTATGACTCACGTGGTCTCCCAGTTCGCCTCCAGCTATGTGTTTTACTGGCGGGATTACTTTGAGGACCAGCCCCTTCTGTATCCCCCAGGCTTTGATGGAAGAGTCGTGGTGTATCCTAGCAACCAGACCTTAAAGGACTATCTCAGCTGGCGGCAAGCAGATTGTAAGTGAAACCAAATAAACAGATGTAGTTAAACTACTGATTCCTTATATTAGAGGTGATGATCTGATACATTTTTGGCCCATGTATTTTGTTTGGAATGCAATATTTCAAGTTTTTTAAATTAGTTGAAAATACTTGAAAAATTGGAAGGTTTTATGTAAATACTACCTATTTCCAACTTTTTTTTTTTTTTGGAAAAATCAGATTTGGCAATACTAGGTCTATATTCCCACTTAGTATTGGTCAGAACCTGCGTAGTGACTACTGCCTTTATACACACAGACACACACACACATAAACACACACACGCAGGCACACATTCATGCACATAGGAGCCAGTGTGCCTCAGCCTCTACCATTCCCTGTTGTTCCCCTGGGAACTCTGCTTTACACGCCTATGTTTGTGCTGGCTTCAGTGGGTATTCAAGTTGTGACCCTTCCTTACATGACTATGGTGAAATGTTTGTTAGACTTTTATTCATTTGGTGTGTCTTGATTTTGCCAGGAGAACTGGAAGAGAGGTGGGAATAATATAAATCAAATAACTTGGAAAGTATTCCTTAGCTTAATGCACAAGTTAACAGATTTGTTTAAAGCACAACTGAAATGACAGGATAAAACTGTTAGGAAATAAGTTTTTTCTGCTTGACCACTTCCCCCTGTGTTCCCTGTGTATGGCTTTGCGCAAGTAATTATATGTCTCTGCGGGAGAGAGGTGGGGTTCCAGTACTCTTTGAAGGGTGAATATTGAATAAAGATTCTATGTGCGTACACAGTGCCAACTATGTTTTCTTTACAGGTCACATCAATAATCTTTATAATACAGTTTTCTGGGCACTTGTACAGCAGTCTGGATTAACACCAATACAAGCCCAAGAGAGATTACAGGTATAAAGATCTTACTGCATTAATACTTAAGGGGGGACAGTTTACGGTCTCTCATGACATTTGGCCTTCTTTTTAAGCTCTTAAATTTTTATGGTTTTGTTTTGAAAAGATAGAAAGATCATACTAGTAGCAGGTCTGCTGCTTGCTTGCTTTGTGACTGTGGATCAGTTGTTACTACTCCCTGAGCCTCAGTGTCCTCAGCTGGAAAATGGATTTAATAATGGCTCTACACTCCCACATGGTAGTGCTTAGCTGGAGCTGTGTATAGGCTGCCCCCTATAAAGGGCACATGCTCTTCTTTTTTTGTCAGCCCCACCTGGCTGCTTCATGATTGTCAATCCCTGCTGGGGACCTGGAGTTTCTTGGGGTTAGGACTCCTGTGTATCATTAAGAGTTTAGGCTCTGGGGGTCAAATAATTGTACTCAGAGGCTCTTGTTTAATTTTATCATCTCTGCCTTAGTTTTTAATAGGTAAAATGTAGAAGATAGTAGTTCCTACCTCATACGTTTCTGGTGAGAGTTAAATGGCATGATGCATGTAAAACACGTAAAGGCTAGTACAGGGCACACTGTAAGTACTTAATAAATACTGGCTTGTATCATTAGATGACCATGCTACTTGTAGGAAAACTAACCGTGAAATGAGATGATGTGTTGTATTAGCTCCTAATACAATGCCTGGGACTTTAAAATGACGCAGTAAATGGTTGTCATTATTAACAATCATGATAAAGTTGCATATGTAGCAGTAATAGGAAGACTGGTAGATCTAGCCAGAGTTTGGAAGTGCTGAGATCAGATTTTGATTCTTATACGAATAAGAGCACTTTTGGCCTCGGAAAATTTATATAATCTTTCTAAGCTTCAGAGCTCTCATCTCTAAAATGGAGATGGCTATGAGGGTCAAATAATACAAAAACGATCCAGTACAGAATCGGTACTCTTACTATTAGTTCCTCTCACCCCATCACAGTAGTGACTCGTAAAGGCAGTTATTTGCTACAAAAGAGAATTTTATGAATTTTGATATTTAAATAAGATTTGAACTGCTTTTACGATGAAAATTCATTAACACCTATGTGACGTTTGATGAAATGCTTCCACTTCTTGATTTGTTGTGGAAGTCTAGGTAGAGAGTGGAATGGATAGGTGGGGTTAGGGGAGAGAAAAGACCTACAAAGCTTTTTATATGTGTTTTTATTTCTTCAGGGAACTCTTACAGCAGACAAGAATGAGATTTTATTTTCTGAATTCAACATCAACTACAATAATGAGCCACTGATGTATAGGAAGGGAACTGTGTTGATATGGCAGAAGGTAATGCTGTTACGTCTGAGGAAAAACGGAGGTCAGAAGGAAAGCCTGTGCCCATCCCAGGCTTTGTCTTGCCTGCTGCCTGTATGCTGATGTGACTCCAGTAACTAGCACAGATTAGACCCTTTCCAAAATGAGATGCTATCGATTACTATTATGGATGCTCGTTTTGTCAGTTTGTCAGTGAACATTGTGATCTGGACTCCCCCATTCTGTAAGTAGAATCACAGAATTTTAGAATTATTACACTTTTCCATGTCATAAGCTCTCCCCAAATCTCATCAAACCCCTTTAAACAGGTAAGTGCAGATATGAGAATTTTTGCATTCAGAGAACATTTAAAAAAATAATTTCTCCCACACTGGATAATTCCACTAAATGGTCCATCCATCCCATGAGAACTGTAATATAAGGAACTGATGTTGCATGTGAGGGTTCTGTCCCTTGCAGAATGTTTGAGGGCTTCCCTAGACATTCATACTTAACTTAATATTCTGTCTGTGCATTCACCTGTATCCTTAATTCTACCAATATTTTTGCTCTGTTCCAGCTCCTGGGCATAATGAAGTCTCTAAATTTATTTCCTTCTGTCTAAAGTATTTTTTTCTGAAATGAATGTTTTCAAGTATTAAGGGGTATTAGGTATCCCACTGGCAGCTTCAGCTCTTTTATTAGTATTTTTAAAACATTTGTTTGGCACAGACTCGGATCCTTCTTAATGCAGGTGGGAGAGCAGAAATGTCTTTAATTTTATGGTTATTGCTAACAAGGAACATAGAATCCCTTCTTTGTTCCTAAGGTCTCCTTTCAACATAACTTTTTTAAAAAGTATTTTAGTTGTAAAGAAATTCATGTATGGTGAGAGATATACATATATCTCTGATATATATATATATATGTATATATATGTTCATATATATATATATATATATATATGCCTGAAAATATGTATTTGTCAGAAGTACATAAAGTAAAAAAGTAAACTTCCCCCACTTCTCCCTCTTCTCTCCCAAACTGACTCTCTAGTTAATGTGTCAATATTTTAACTTTACCTATAGGTGGATGAAGTCACGACAAAAGAAGTTAGGCTGCCAGCAGAAATGGAAGGAAGAAAGATGGTGGTGACCCGGACCAGGACTAAGGCGGTGCCCTTACACTGCGATGTCATTGGGGATGCTTTCTGGAAGGAACATCCAGAAATCCTACATGAAGACAGCTGACCCTTTGCTTTTCATTACTGGTGTGCTTGACCATGCAGGGTCCCCCAAGTCTCCTGGCCTTAGGTGGCCCTAGCATCTGTGCCATGCAGAACAGTGTCCTGGGAGTGACATGGCTCTGGTTGGGAGGGGAACAGAGAAAGAAGGGATGAATGTGGGTGGTGTATCTTGTTCTGCTTTAAGTGGAACACCTATTTTTCGGTGTTGAAACATGGTTCCTTTGGTAGAAGTACAGTTTTTTAAAAATCGTGGTACTATTTTTATAAAGCAAGAACTATTTTATGCCTTGCAAAATGAATCATTTTTAGATTGTGGCGTAAGCCTTATAAAAACTTGTCAAGCTCTTTTCACCTATGATAGAAGATGAGCCCAAACTTTACTCTCACCCACTTATTCTTTTTTTTTTTTTTTAACATCTTTATTGGGGTATAATTGCTTTACAATGGTGTGTTAGTTTCTGCTTTATAACAAAGTGAATCAGTCATACATAAACATATGTTCCCATATGTCTTCCCTCTTGCGTCTCCCTCCCTCCCACCCTCCCTATCCCACCCCTCCAGGCTGTCACAAAGCACCGAGCAGATCTCCCTGTGCCATGCGGCTGCTTCCCACTAGCTATCTACCTTACTATGTTTGTTAGTGTGTATATGTCCATGACTCTCTCTCGCCCTGTCACAGCTCACCCTTCCCCTTCCCCATAACCTCAAGTCCGTTCTCTAGTAGGTCTGCGTCTTTATTCCTGCCTTACCCCTAGGTTCTTCATGACATTTTTTTTTTCTTAAATTCCATATATATGTGTTAGCATACGGTATTTGTCTTTTTCTTTCTGACTTACTTCACTCTGTATGACAGACTCTAGGTCTATCCACCTCATTACAAATAGCTCAATTTCGTTTCTTTTTATGGCTGAGTAATATTCCATTGTATATATGTGCCACATCTTCTTTATCCATTCATCCGATGATGGGCACTTAGGTTGTTTCCATCTATGGGCTATTGTAAATAGAGCTGCAATGAACATTCTGGTACATGACTCTTTTTGAATTTTGGTTTTCTCAGGGTATATGCCCAGTCACCCACTTATTCTTAACCACAGAATCCAGTGACCTTGGTCACCTTGCCCACCTATCTACTTGCATTCATCTTTGGCAGACCTGGAGTTAATATGGGTTGATGCCTGCCTGATGCCTCTGAATTCAGGAATTCCAGGGCAAACTCAGGGCTTTGTGCCAATCTCCAGATTGGCAACTTGAGCTGAACAAATGAGTTGTAGTTTGGATGTCCTTGTGTAAACATTCCCTAGATTGATTTTGTGGAGTTGGCAGCCTGATCATCATGATCATCTTGCCAGGGGCAATGATTACAAGGCCACTTAACCTCTTTCTAAGAAGAAAGAGAATTACCTGTTTATGTGGGAGAAAGAAAACAGCGAGAATGAATGAATGAGGAGGAAGAAACATTTACTCTCTGTCCTCTAGACACTTCAGTTTTGAAAGTCACCTTCCTGTGGACTTCCTGAAAAAGATTCTCAGGTAGCCTCTGGATAATCGGAACAGTGACATTTGAGTTGGAGAACAGAGGGACCAATCCTCATCTTGGGGTCACAGGTAGCAGGTGGCAGAGGAGTCCTAATAGTTCTGCCTGCCGACGGGCCAGTGGAGTTGGGCGAGGAGCAGCAGGAACTGCGTGTCGCCAAGCCGTTGGCCTCTGAAGGGGGGAGGCAGTGGGGGTAGGTGGTCGAGAACTCATGTCTCCTCTTGTCCTCATTTCATGTTGTAGAGGAAGAAGATTAATTTGGCTCTATAAAGAATTAACTAAGAGACAGCCCACATCCCTGTGCCTGGTCTTGCACTGTAGAATTTACAGCCAAGAAGAAAATGTATTTTTGAAAGGGCAACGGCTGGTCTCATCCCTCACCAATTGACACCCCATCTGTCAATGCCTTTTTTTACCTTCCTGTTCTCTTCGCTTCGTGGGAATAGGAGACATGGCTCATGTTTGGTAATTGATAAGATTTCTTTGAGAGAAAAAAATAAAGCTTTCAACTCCCTTGGCCTAATTTTTCATTTGTTTTTTTTCATACAAACGCAGTATGAGTCCAACTTTCATGTGTGTATGTCTTTACATAAGCCAGGCTCACATCCCTTCATCACAGTGGTGGTTCACAGACTTCTGACTGCAACAAATTTACTTGAAATACTCATTTAAAATGCCAGTTCTAAGCTTTCCGCATGAAGATTTTGGGGTTCAAAGGCTTTTGGTGGATAATGGTCAATGTACCACACTTTGTGTAACAAGACCCAAATATGATATACCTAGGCTAGTACACTGTGATAGGCCAAGTAAGGCAATAAGAATGTAGCTCTTGATTGGCAAATTTAACTTAATTGTAAGTAAATTATAGCATTTTATATCAAAACAAATATAAGGTATTAGTACAAGTTTTTAAGACAACTACCCACGGAAGTTTTGTGTTTTCTGTGGGTGCTATGTGATACCACAAAGGCTATCACTTGATTTTGTTACAAGACGGGGATGTGCACTTGCTCGTTGAATTGCCAGCAGTTTGCAGGTTTGACGTTTGTGTTGGGGCAGGGGTTTTGAGCAAAGGAATGACCCGGGTTTACCTATTGAGTTATGTAGTGCTATCAGAAGCATTGTTGGTAGTTTTTATGTTATCTTTTTAATTTTGCATCATGTATTCTAAAGTATACTTCACAGCTGTATATTTTCATCCTGCTCTCTAAGAGAATAGTATTCTCTGGGGCTTCCTTTCCAGGTCTTAAGGAAACTTTAAAATATGCACAAAAGCAACTAGTATAGAATTAATACCAGTTGATAGCAGTTTGGGAGAGTGGTGGCAGTTAGGAAAGTGATTTGTGTGGCCTGTAGGTGACTGGAAACACCTTGGCTCTGCTGGATGAGGGGGTAATATCTGGGCCTTTGGTGTAGAGTAGACTATTATTTTAATATCAAAAAACAAAAATATTCCGCTGAACAGAGGCTCCAAAGTACAACCAGGTTTTGAAAATCTTGTTATCTTGTCCTCCGATCGCGGCATCCTCATTTCCTCCAGGTGCTAAGCAATGCTTACAAGATCAGTGATAGTGAATTTGCCTTAATACTAGCGTCTTTCTGGTGTATGCGTAAATTTCTTTTTGCAGAGGGTGTAGGAAATGCAGTACCAGGGTCCACCCATCATCCTTCAGTTTCATTGTACACTTAACCAATATTAGTTAACATTCACAGAGCATTTATTATGCGCTCTATATGCAGTATCTCTTCATTCTTTGGACAATTCTGTGAGGTAGGCGACCATTTCTACATCTCAGATGAGAATGTAAAGAGCCAGAGAAGCTAAATAGTTGGAGCCCACCTAAGCTAAACCCCAGTGGTACTCGGCATGAGAGCAAACTAGGGCATTCCTTGCCCTCTTTCCCACTGCTTCCCGCCAGCGCAAGCTAGGAGTAGAGCGCAGTTCCAGAGAGCAGAGAAACACCTGGGGAGCTTGTTAAGATGCCGGGCCCGGGCTCCACCCCCAGGGAATCCGCACCACTAGGAAACACCCAAAGTGATAATGATATAGATGGGGGAAACACTGCGTTAGAGCAAGTTAACCTCTTCCCCGAACGCTGATGCGCTGCGAGGACCGGGCGGGTCGCAGCCGCTCGCCACACCCCCGGAGACGCAGAGCGCAGGCAGATGCTGTCTCCTGGCGGCCAGGCCGGCGCAGTGAGACCCGCGTCGCGGCTGCGCAGTGCCGCCCTCTGGCGGCCCCCTCTCCTTCCCATCGGCCTCAGCTTGCGGGCCTTTCAAACATGGAGGAGCGGGAGAGGGGGGCGAGGTCGGCTCGCGCCGGCAGCCCTGCGCGCCCGCCCAGCCCGCGGCTGGATGTCAGCTCTGACAGCTTCGACCCACTGCTGGCCCTGTACGCGCCTCGCCTGCCTCCCATCCCCTACCCCAACGCGCCCTGCTTCAACAACCTGGCCGAGTACGAGAGCTTCCTCAGGACCGGGTGCCGGGGCGGCGGGCGCGGACGGGCGCGGGGCGCAGCCGCGGGCTCTGGGGACCCCGCCACCGCCGCCGCCGGGCCCTTGGGCAGGACCCGCCGCCGCCCGGACATCCCCGCCCCGGACCCCGAGCGCATCCAGCGCCTCCGCCGCCTCATGGTGGCCAAGGAGGAAGGGGACGGGGCCGCCGGGGCGCGGCGGCGGGGTCCGGGTCGGAGCAGGAAGGCGCCGCGCAACGTGCTCACGAGAATGCCCTGTGAGTCCGGCGGGCGGGGCTGGGGCCGGGCCAGCTGTCGAGAAGGCGGCGGCCCTGGAGGCGTTTGCGGGGTGATAGCGGCTTGGTGCGGGTCTACGTGTATCGGGGGAGGGTCTTGGTAAAGGTTGAAGAGATAATCAGCGACTGTGGGGAGGGTCAGCTTGAGGAGTGAAGGGTCTGTCTGAGCTGCGGGGGAAGAGTGGTAAGGCTGTGGAGGTAATTAATAGCCGTGGGGAGTGTCTGCTTGGATAACGTGAGTAAAGGTGATGGGGTCCACGGAACTGCCTACAGAGGTGATGAGGAGCCTGCAGAAAGGATCTGCAGGAGTGATGGGGGGTCCGGAGAGGTGGTGGGCCTGGAAGCGGGACCTCACAGGTAGGGTTTGCAGAGGTGTTGAGGTCTTGGGACCACGCACGGTGCGGGGAGGGAGGGCATAGCCAATATTAGGGGTGGGAGAGTGCTTGGTCATTGAGATTTGGGGATGTTGGGATGCAGTGTGAGGAAATCTGTTCAGGTAGCACAGGAGACATGATCCCACAACCCCTGCACATTAAGTGACAGCTCGTTCTCAGTGCTGTAAGCAGGAGAAGGGCTGCAGGGTTTTGATATACCTATGTTCACATTAGCAAGTCACAAGTCCTGGAATGCAGCAGGCACAAAATGCCAGTGAAGCACAGACGCTATTTTACGGCCACTCTGCCAGGCTGAGTGCAGGACTGTGTCTGTCAGGCTCATACTACCATATGCACAGGTTATTTCATGTTCTGAAGGTGTAAATGGCACAAGGGAATTTCTTGCAGCCTCCTAACAGATCCTTAGAGTAAAGCTGTAAACAGCAGAAGTTGCTAATGTGTGTTAGGTCTTGTATAAATGGAATAAAAACAGCCCAGGGTTATATCTTTGTCATCTGGCAAGCAGTTCTGACATCTGCCCCATGGACACAATGACCTACTTAGCCATTCAGAGCATCTGTATCCTGATAGCTAAATCTTGGCATTATTAAATCACTGCCTTTGGAATGGAGGGTTGTGCTAAGCAAAGGAATATTTTATTTCATTTCTAGAAATGTGTTTGTTAAGAGAGAAACATCCTGAAAGGCTGAGTGCTGTTAGGGGTGGCTTTGTCGGATGATTTACTATGCCGGAGAATCCCTGCCTGAGCTAGGGTTTATTCCAGTTTGCTTGCCCAGCAGTGGCACAAAGATAGATTATGCATGTTCCTAAATTAAGAGCAGTTTGGGGGACCTTATTTTGCCCATACTTTTTGCCACTATCAGATCTTTGAAATGCACTCCAAGTCTCAGATTGTAACATTTATTTCCATTTTGCCAGTCATTGCTTTGCTTCCAAGATTTTCAAGAGAAAAGAAATATTTCTATGTGGTGGGTGGTTTTGCCTTTACCTGTGGAGCACTTTGCTATATTATTGGTATGAAAGTGTGTGAAAGCCAACTTTATTGACTTCCCATGATAAATATATGCCTGGAATCAAAGTCTCAGAATGTGCCCTCGGCACTGAAAATTTTAATCCCACCACTGGAAACACTTGGGTGTACATGGTAAAGATGAGTAGATAGCACAAAGAGTTGATGACCTTCAGAAAGCGAAAAAAGTACAGAAGCATGGGTGAGGATTAGATTTTTTCAAGAAATAGTTCATGTATGAGGTCAGCTTTAGGTCTTGAAGTTAAGGAAGGGCATGGTTGAAGATAACAGCAATTATTTTAAAATCAGACTATTGACGTATAATTTACACATAGCAAAATTCACTCTTTTAAAGTGAGTTTTGACAAGTGTATGGTCGTGAGATCACCACCACAATCAAGATACAGAGCAAATCCGCACCAGAAAGTTTCCTCATGCCCCTTTGTAAGTCAGGTGGTAACTTTATTGTTGTTAATTATAGCTGCTATTATTGAGCCAGTATGTGCTATACACAGTGTTAAGCCCTTTAGATGCATTGCATCTCATTTTACCCTTGGATCCACTTTTATAGATGAGGAAACTGACACTCATTGAGTTCAACTTCTTGCCCAGCATCACATAACTAGTCAGTTTGCTGCTCATCCTGGGTTGTCCCAGTCCAGGGGCTATATGCTTAACCATTATGCTAGTCTCAGGAGAGGAAGAATACATTCTAATGTTTCCTTCCTTGCTTTTTTTTTTTTTTTGGTGGGTGGAAGGTGCTGCATATGTGGTTTGTGTCCAGATCAATGAGAACTGAATTTGGGTCCAGAAAGGGATTGGTAGCCAGAATGTTTTGAAGACCAAAGAGTTTTTCTTTGACTTTGTTATGAGAGACAGTGGGAACCATGGTGTATATTCTTAAGCAAAAGGCTTTGTAGGGCAAATGTTTCTGATTGCTGAGTTTCTAGTAGTAAAATGTGTTTGGGGAGGTAGAGTAGAGCACAGGCTCAGGGGCTTGACTGCCTAGGTTTGAATACTTGCTCCTCCACTTTCCAACTGTTTTACTTTAAGCAAGTTAATTAAACTCTTTGGGGCCTCAGTTTCCTCATAAGTGAAGTGAGGTCAATAATAGAATCTAGTTGTGAAGTTTAAATTAGTTAACACATTTAAAGGTTTACAATTGTAATGTGGCCTAGCATGTAGGGAAATACTCAGTGAGTGTTAAATGTCACTGTTTTTATTGTTGTAGATTGCTGTTGTGGTTATTATTAGTTTTAGACTCTCATAATTAAAAGCCCCAGGTCAGAATGCATATAACCTGCCAGTATTGACTGTTGGCTCAGCTGTTTACTAGGTAAGTAACTTTGAGCAAATTATTTAAACCTGTTTGAGTTGTGAGGATTAAATAATGTGTATAAAGTTAAACTTACCATAGGGCCTGGCCCATACTGAGGGCTCAGTAATTGGTGATAATGTTGGTGACAGTGATGATGATGCTGTTGCTGATGTGAAGGAGGGGAGCTAGGAGACTCTTGAAGTGAACCAGTCATCTGATGGGCCCTGGACTGTATTGTTAGTTGTGGAAAGAGAAAAGAAAGGGCAGGTCTTAGTTATTGAGAATCTATTGTTTGGACTTAGTATTGGCTACAAGCAGGGAAAAATAAGAGTGGGGTTAAAAATGACCTGGATTTGGAAGTGTGTGGCCCAAGAGTAATGGCAATGGAGAGCGGGATTTGGAAGAATAACTTTTTCAAAGATAAGGCATATGTGTATGTGTATATATATGTGTGTGTGTGTCATCTATCTATCTATATATATAGAAGCCTGGTTCATATCCATTTGGAGTTTGTCACAGACACTGCTGCGAAGAGATTCAGACTGTGCCTTCTGATTCAGAATGTGAAGTTCATTTTTGTCTTGGCGTTTTGCTCTGATAGGTGGTGCTAGTGTTGTATTTTTGATCACATAAGGAGAGAAATACTCCCTGGAATTACACCTTATTAAATCTTTGGAAGAAAAAAAATCAAAAGAAAAGCACACATGTGAGGGTGAATAACCTGAGTTTGCCATTTAATTAGAATAAGAGACAGTTGTTAAGGTACATGCCTGTCCTTCCTCTCTGATTTAGGGGTGCATGGGGAGAAGTGGTGCCCCTGTTTTCTTTCAAGTTAGAAAAAGAGTGGTCTTTCCACCCTTTGTGGAACATATACGTGTATGGTGAGAAAGGGGAGTGAATGTGTATAGGTAAATGGAATAATCCAGGCATTGTGATCAGTTTCTAAGAAATTGAACTATAAAGGCTTATTCCTTACATGACTCTAGAAGTTAACTAGTCTAACCTCATTTTATGAACGAGGTAATTTGGGCTTATAGAGAAAAAGTTGTTCGCCAAGTTCACACAACTAGTTATAATGACCTAAAAGTTGTTTACAGTGCTTGATTTGACACTGTCTATAACACATATCCAGATATATGTACATACATCTTTATATGTCATAGGTTCAAAGAATTTTAAAAGATGGCTAGAGGAGGGATAGGTGATGAAGATCAGACCAAGGTTCTCATGTTCCTTTCCAAGGCCACTGTTTCTGTCACTCTGCCTCCAACTGTGCCTTCTTGCTGAACCCTCAATCTGAGGGTGCTAAGTCACTTAATCCAAGCATATCTTCTTGTGTTAATTTATCACTGCCATCATTTATAAACCAATCTATGAGTGAGGGGTAAGGAGGTTAAGAGTAACCACCTTAGTTATCCAAGTTGAAGTGCAAGACTTTTGTTCTCTTTTATGCCACTAGAAACAAAACAGAGATTTTTTGTTTGTTTACTGTCAATGACAATAACTTCCAAAGAATTGTGCCTTGCAAACTTGGGGGGAAGAATGAGACTGTGTATGTGTGAGTGTGAATGTGACTGTGAGAGAGAGAGTGTGTGTGTGTGCACGTGTGTGCTCACGCAGTTTTCTTTAGGGAGATTTTGTGTAGTATAGCCAGCATATTTTGAAGGCTAAGTTAACATGAAATAATAAAAATAAAATTCAGCCTTGCTCCCAAGCTCTGAAAATAAGAGTCCATCATAGTAAAAGCTGCAGTTTATAATCCCAGCCTTCCTCCCATGAGTTGTCATACTGCTCTTTTTGTATGATGCTTATCAGCAATGTCATAAGAGTCAGATGCTCAGCAGGTGCCTTTATACCAGCAAGGCTTGGAATACAACCAGGCCTCTTCCTCCTAGTGTAAAGATGATATACACTGAAACACTAGTGGCTCCAGAGAGCTCGTGCATGAAGTAGCTCAGACTTGAGAGGCCGAAAGGCCATTATTTCTTAGACGATTGCATGTGTTTCAGGGCAAATGAGTTACATGGTTCATTTCCTTTAAACCTGTGACGAGGGTTTTTGTTCTTTGGAAGGCTCAAGCTGGATATGTGGTTCATGAGCTTTATCCTGAAAAAGGTTGTCTTAACAGGGCATAGAACTGAGAAGACTCTAGCTGCTGATGCACACATTTAATGTAGTATTTCTTTTTTTCCCAAAAAAGTTTTAAAATGATGGTACCTCTTAGAATCAGTGACATCATAGAAATAGGGTAGAGAGGTAGTGAAACATTTGGATGGTAGCCATACAGCTCGTTTATCCACGTTCCAGGTAATCTTGTTTCGATTCAGTGTGCATTGCCTACGCTAGCCATTTTGCCCACTGGGCCTTCCTGCTCCTGTGGTGTGGCTGACACTACACCGTGTTGCCTTGTGTTGCTGGAGATGGTTGGGTGGTCTTGGTTGTTAATTCTGGGAATGAGAGCAGGTGTTCATGCTGTGCTGACTGTTCTTCTTGTTTCAGTGCACGAAGGCAGCCCTCTGGGTGAACTCCATCGTTGTATCCGGGAGGGGGTGAAGGTGAATGTTCACATCCGCACTTTCAAGGGACTTCGGGGCGTCTGTACGGGCTTCCTTGTTGCATTTGACAAGTTCTGGAATATGGTAATTAAACCTTTCTCAAGGGGCTGGAGAACCTTCTAGGGATTAAATTTTTCATATATCTCAAGGACCTTATTCAGCAAAACCTCCAGAATAACTTCCCAGAGGAGCTAGAATCTTTGCACTCTCTTGGGCAATAACAAAAAAGTTCTTTTTATTGCTTTTCCCAAAGGCAGAGGCTTTCACCTGGAGTGATTTTGCCCATTCCTCCTTCCCAGGGACATTTGGCAATGTCATTTGTTTCGATTGTCACGACTGTGGGATGAGGTACTACTGGCATCTAGTGGGTAGAGGCCAGGGCTGCTGCTGCTGCACATCCAACAGTACACAAAACAACCCCCCCCCACCTCCCGCCGCCCTGCCCAACAACAAAGAATTATCTGGTCTAAAATGTTATTAGTGCCAGGGTTGAGCAATCTAGCCTTAAGGAATAATTACTTATTTCATCTTTTAGTAATTTTATGTTGATTTCCTACCAACTATTTTTCATTCATTTAAAAATATTTGCTGACTTCCTACTTTGGCTGGGCACAGTGCTAGGTACAGAAATTTCAGAAAGGAACTTTTACTCTACAGCTTTCGGAAAGACAGATGTGGATAGAGGGGAAGCAGACATATTAATACGCCGGACACTTTGCATAGTGTTTCCTTGTGAAGGAGCATACCACGTGCCCTCAGTCTTCTAGAGGCTTACTGTCTATTTACTAAACATTTGTAGGAGAGAAGGGATATATTATAGCACAACTATGATAGGAGGCAGTTAAAATAACTTTGATAATAATAATAGTTGCTAATACTTATTAAGCCCTTGCTATGTGCCAGATACTGTACTAAGGGCTTTATATATACTATCTCAATGCATAAGTTGTGGGTCTATCACTGTTTTATTTCACAAATGAAGCAATTGAGGCTAGCGATTTTGGAAGATTGGTCCCAGATCACACTGTTAGTAAGTGAAAGGACCATGACTTTATCCTTTCTGGCTGCGGAGACGATGTTTTAAGCTGTATGGAATCAGAAAACCTGGATTTGAATCCTAGCTTCACCATTTGGTAGCTGTGTGACTCTAGGCCAAGTAATTTCTCTGAGCCTCAGTTTTCTCATCTCTAAAGTGTAGGGAAAATATTTTATTATAATTTTACCTTTGAAGGAAAAGATTTAAAAGAATATATTTGATAACAGTGGTGGTAATCATAATACTGTCAGCTTATATTTGTAGGGTGATTCACACTTTTCAAAGTAATTTCTCATACCTGATCTGATTTGACCCTAATAGCTCTCCTGTGAGGTTGATCTCTCCACAACAAGAATTCACCAGCAATTCTATGCGTTACCCTGGTTAATCTCTATTAATTGCTGTCATAAGACATACAGACTGAAAAGGGAAAAGCAGCAGTAGTGTTTCTTAACGTGTGGTCTGAGGCTGTCCTGCATCAGAATCATGGGGTTTTTGGTTCAAGTAGAAAGTTCCTGGGCTTCATCCCAGGATGAAGAATCTCTAGGAGGATAGCCTTAGATTTGTATTTTAATAAACTTCCTAGATATTCATGCTCCCTGAAATTTATGAACCTCTACCCTGCGTTGGTAAAGTCACCTTACCATAGGGGAAACCCATCTTACATGGTCATAGCCGCTTGGAATTCCTATTCAGAGGGTGCCACGTATAACCATTTGTTTCTGCCCAAGAGCTGAGTCACCTGTTAAGGTTAGTTCTGCTATAATTAGATGTTATTCTGCCTTTTAAATTTTTTCCTGAAAGCTATAAAAATAATATTTGAATGCTACCTTATTTTCCCCACTTTGGTCTGTTTTTCTCTAGGCACTTACTGATGTGGATGAGACCTACCGAAAACCTGTTCTAGGCAAAGCATATGAACGGGATTCTTCATTGACTCTCACTAGGGTAGGCAGTTTCCCCTGACTTTCTGAGTACCCAACATGCTTTCAAGCTTAGGAATTAAGATCACTGAGCCCAGGGACCAGGGTTTCCAAGTGGAAAAGCCCTATTGCTATCAACCAGGTGTGCCTGGACCACGGTCTTCATTAGTCTCTTCCCATGCATCCAGCGAATCAAAAATGAGTCTGTGCTTCTTACTTGCATATTGTTTGAACAACAAGTTACCTCTTATAAGGTTTAAAAGTCTTTCAGTTTTATACCATAGAAAAAGTGGGTGCCTTTTCTCTTGACATATTTATTGATTTATCTGAGTTACGGCTAGAAATAGAAAATTCGTTACTAACTTTTTTTTTTTTTTTTTTTTTTTTTTTTTGCGGTACATGGGCCTCTCACTGCCGTGGCCTCTCCTGTTGTGGAGCACAGGCTCCAGACGCGCAGGCTCAGCGGCCATGGCTCACGGGCCCAGCCGCTCCGCAGCATGTGGGATCTTTCCGGACCGGGGCACGAAACCGTGTCCCCTGCATTGGCAGGTGGACTGTCAACCACTGCGCCACCAGGGAAGCCCACTAAATTTTTAAAAATTGCAAAGCAAGCAGTCCACAGAGCATGATAAAGGAATCTAGTCTGTCTTCTACATATTGGAAGAGGGATGTTGTAAGCTAAAGGGAAGGCTAATACTTGTCATTGCTTTCCTTATAGCTCTTTGATCGACTAAAACTGCAGGATTCCTCCAAGAAGGAAACAGATTCCAAGTCTGCAGTTGAAGACTCCACTCTGTCCAGATACTCCCAGACATCCACCTGGAAGGTGGCTTCAGTGTGGGGACGAGGAGACACTGACCGGGGTTCACGCAAGCGTTCCCGCTCCGTCCCTTCTTCCCTGCAGGCATCGGCAAGGGAGGAGTCCAGGTCAGAGCTGTCAGGGAGGACTACACAGACAGAAGGGTCGAGTGCGGGAGGTACCTTTTCCAGGGCCACCACCCTTTCCAGGGGCCAGCCCCGTAAGAAAAAGCGAAAGCCCAAAGTGGATTACCAGCAGGTATTCACTCGACACATAAATCAGATTTTCATTCGAGGCGAGAATGTCCTGCTGGTTCATCTTGCACAGTGACCAGCTCGGCCTCACTTGAGCTTTGGTTTTTCGAAATAAGATGCATGAATCGCTGCTATGCTATATCCTAGTATCCCAGTGAAGCTATGAGTTGGAATGATTCCCTCTGGTCTGCCATGTGCAGAGCATAGAGCCAGGCTCGGGCCTTCTGGGAGATGAGGTCCCTGAAGGGGAAATAGGCCTTGAGAGGGTGGGTGGGTGTGTGCATTAATATCAAGGCAAAAGCTGTACAGAGGTACATGCATCTTATTTGGTATCGTGGTCTACTTCAGACACTCAAACCAAATACTAGATTTGAATTAGGGAGCATGGTATGAATTGAATTCACTCCACAGACACTATAGCACGGTGAAGAAAAAAAACACCTCAAAAAGAATGATCTCATTTCTAAAAGCTAGTGTCCTGAGTACTCATAAATTTGTTTCTAAGAGTAGCAGTATAAATCACCCTGAGCCCTGAACCCACATCTTGTAAATGACCTTTGAATTTTGCTCTACACCATTCTCTCTTGATCAAGAAATGTAATTTGTTATCTTTTAATATCTATAAGATATAAGAAGCCCACCAGTTTATGTAAGAGTGAAATTTGGGTAGGTGGTATGCTCAAAGCATCTAGCAATGAATGCTGTGTTTTTATGCCTCTCCACTTTATGGAAAGAAATATGGGACCTCGTTGTTGGTCTTCCTCTTGCCAGAGATAGCTTCTGCAGATGGTGTACCAGATGGGACTATAAGATGCTCTTGTCCTTCTCTTTCACTTCTGTGGCATGGTGCTAGTGCATGTACCCTGTGTATTGCCCCTCTGTATATAGTGTGACCTGTCCTGTGAGCTTTATGTCAGGAGACTGTGACCTTCATGTCTGGCTTCAAAGAGTTCTGCGTGGACTCAATAATACACACTCATCATGTGGCCGAGAGTACTCTTTCCAGGCAGGGCTGGCCCCTGTCTAGAGTATCTTTTAGGATGGTTTCCATGAAACAGGGGTGGAGTTTTATTCCCTTGTTTCAGACCAAAGAGGTTCTCACAAAGTACAGCGGTGGTGTCTGTAAGGGACACTTTACTCAGCCTGGCTTGAGTAACAGGAACACTAGACCACCTGCTACTACTTCTACTTGAACCATATGCTTTTCCAATCACCAGTGCAAAATAGGCTATATCTTGACACAGACTGTTAGGCAATGTTGACCTTTTGTTTTGTTAGTTTATACATTATTTGGTTTTATTTTAGATAACTTAGGTTCAAAGTGAGAATGATAAATAGCTAACTAGTTAAAACGTTTGAAAAGAAAAACTTCCTCTGCTGTATTTGTCGTGTTACTTAAATAAGCCTTCTGAGAAGCTGGTGAATCAAGTTCAAGGAGCTGGGACTCTGGCTCATCATGTAGTGAGAGGAGAGCAGACTAACCCCTCTGTGCCTCAGTTTTTTCCCACCAGACACCTACCTCACAGGGGCACTGAGTAAAAGAATTTGGGGAAGGCATTTTAAAGTCTTTTAACACGTGTAAGTGCCGTGAGTGATTTTTACTCACCCTGTTTCATAGCTTGGTAAAAGTTCAGTGTTTCATGAGCAAGGTAGGTGCTATATAATATCAGAGAGTAATCTCCATAGGTGTCACAGTTACGATCTTGTTATCAAAAAGCAGTGATATCTTCAGGAACTGTTTTCCATATTCCGTTCCTTCCTCCTAAGGGACAATGGAAGTGTTCAGAAGAGTATCTTCAGTAAAGGAAGAGGGGCATTTCGTTGCTCCCCCCCCCCCCCCCGCCGTATCCCAGCCCCCGCCCTCTGCTGGTCAGGATGAGAGGGAATTCCACTGCACTTTCTGAGGGGTTTATATGACAGCACCGAAGGAAGGATGCGCACCTAAAAACAACGCATCCCCAAAGAGGCATCTGTGGAAGTTGTTTTGTTTTGTTTATTTGATTTTGTTTCAAAATGCATTTTAAATATACTCTTTAGAGCCAGATTAGGTGCACTAAACATTTAGAGAAGTTCTAGGTTACAAACGCTCGTGAACAATTATCTTTGGAATCTGCCAGTCTAAATCTCTTCTAAACAGTATGGCTAAAATCTCAGTTCCCCAATTAGTAGTTGTCTTGTTTAATCATCAGGCACCCCTGCCTCTACCTCTTTACCAGTCCTCCCTGTTTGGCAGTCGCCATCTGTCTGTCCTCTTGTCCCTCAGCTAGAAGCTGTAATGGTTACTAGATTTTCCCAATAAAGTGGAAATTTGGAATCAAAAGGAATATAATCAATTTCCATTCATTGTAGTGCCTGATTAAATCTAACCTGATTTATTTTAAACACATGCTCGTTTTCTAGTTTGCATTTAATTTTCATGTATCCATATAAGGATTGATTTACTGCTTTTCTGCCCAAGTTACTAATTCTGGATCTGAAAATTATTTTAAAACTGTGTGTCGGGCTTCCCTGGTGGCGCAGTGGTTGAGAGTCCGCCTGCCGATGCAGGGGGCACAGGTTCGTGCTCCGGTCCAGGAAGATCCCACATGCCGCGGAGCCGCTGGGCCCGTGAGCCATGGCCGCTGAGCCTGCGCATCCAGAGCCTGTGCTCCGCAACAGGAGTGGCCACAGCAGTGAGAGGCCCGCGTACCGCAAAAAAACAAAAAAAACAAAACTGTGTGTCATCTGTCTTATGTGCCCATATACCCCCATTTATTTGTTTGGTTTGGACAGTGATTCTGGAATGAGTATTATCTAGTAAATGTGCTGTTGTGTACAAAGCATGATAACCATATTTTTAGAGAAGTAATTTTTTTTAATTATTGCTTTTTCTTTATTATGGGAGAAATTGTTCAAAAGGAATTAAAAATATGTCCTAAAAATGTATATGCTGCTCAAAAATGTGGTCATCTAGGACATTTAAATAAGTTGCTATGGAAATAGCTGAAGTCTTCCTCAGAAGGCAAGAAAAGAAAAGGGGAAAGTAAAAGCCAGAATGGTAGATTTCTGGAGGCCCCCCATCAACTCGTCGAAGGGGTCCTAAGCAGCCAAAACTGGCTTCTGATATTCTCTAGGGATTTGGGCTTGAGACACTAGTACTTATTTTTGAACATTCAACTTTGATTCTTCAAAGTAATCTCTAGACATGGCAGTGTGTTTTCGGGGCAGTTCACAGGGCAGACCTGTACACTTGTTGAGGTCTTCTCAGGAGTATCCAGCTTTGTTAGGAAGTAACAAGGGATCGAGAAATGGAAGGTGTGGCTGCACCCCCAGAACGATTTCATGAGCCATTCTTTGTACACAGAGATGGTTCTACTGCTTCACCACTAGGAGAGACTGTACTTTAGGTTGTTTGTGCTAGTATTTGGGAAGTATTTCTGCTTCCTCTGAGAGACCATTTACAACAGGTGCGCCGTTTGTGCGATGGTTAGCTGGAGTTATCAGTGTCTAAGGCAGGTGGCCTTGGACTGGTTGGTTCCTTGCTTTCCGTGCATGGCGCATGTCAAGTCAGAAAGCCTAGAAACCATTAGCGTTAAAGTCTAGGTGCGTAGAATCCTTGCTAGAGTCTTTAGCGAATGAAGAAGGGCTTTACCTATCCTCATGGTGAAATGGTCCAGGAGTACTTTTAGAGATTGTCAGGCCCTGAGCTATGAGCTGCCCTTCATCCTCAGAAGGCTTACAGAAACCTAGGTGTACTGCTTCTATCCCTTGAGAAAAAATGGAAACCTAACTTGATGTAGAGTGGCTATTTGTATTTCTGTTTGTACTGTTTCCATAGCAGCTGACATGGGCAAAACCATGAAATAGAATCTGTTCTGTAAATTACTTCTTTAAGTTTCTCTTAATTTTGCCTTTAGGAAAAAATTAAAATTATTCAAAGACAGCTAGCTGTCACTGGTGCTGCCCCAAAGCTTTCTAAGCCTTTGTGTATTTTTTATGAAAGAAATGGTTGCTGAGGGAAGGTAAAGATTCACCTAAGAGTATCATGGTATAAATGTAATGGTTTCCAGATGTTTTAATTTTCCTTTTCCTGTGCCAGACATAGAATGCAGTCGACCCCTTTTCAGTAGCTTCTGTTCATCAGCCTGTGTTCTTCTGGGCAATAACTCCCAGAAGGCTTTTCTTAGGGATTGTAAAGAAGGAAAATCCCATCTAGGCCTGTGTGGCAACGGTGAGTGGTCTGTCATGACTTTCTGGCAAATTGAGTTGATGGATTTAAGATAAGCCTTTGGGGTTCCTGCCACAGTTTTCTGGGCTCTGAGGAAGGGTTGGGCCTCCTTTACTGTCGGTGTTTCGAGTATTTTTCACATGTTTGTAAGTTCTCTTGCACTTCTCTAATAAAAATGAAAGCTCTCTGTCAAGAAATGGCTTTGGATGGTTTGGAGATCTGGGGGAGGGGGTGTGTGTGGAAGAAGTACACCTGAGACCTTCAGTTGGTCTTATTTATTTAGAATAAAGAGTAGTTTGATAAGCTACCAGAGTTAGTGCTTCTTTAAAAACATTCTCTGAAGAGATAGGAACTGTCCCTCAGGAAAGCCGTAAAAGCTGTTCCGAATACACTGCAATTGATTTTGATTTTTAGTCCTTCCGAGCAAATGTCTGATGTTATGTTTTTAGAGCTGTCGGTGGGGGGGGGGGGAATGTGTTTTAAAAAAATTTAGGGGTGATTGAAACAATGATTGTCTGGCTGAATTATGTGTGAGCTAAGTTCTAGGGCAGCAGTCCAGTTTTTTCTGTTGTCCTGACAGCAAAGCAGATAGTAAGCAGTGTCTTGAAAAGTGATTTGCTTATTTCATACTGACATCTAAAGGCATTAGCCTTCTGTTTGGCAACCCTGGGGATACCCCTCTGCACCGTGACTTATTAATGTTTTTTAGACAAGGCTAAACCTGGATGACTCTCTGTATTTATAGTTTCACTGTTCATATACCAGCTGCTAAAAGAAAAAACATGACTTTTATTCTTGTCTTGAAATTACTCCTCATTGTTAAATTCACCTAAACCCTTCCTCCCAGGAAGGGTTTAGGTGGGTTGCTGCTAGTAACGTCAGCTTGCAGTGTTCTTCTGCTTTAGGTATTTGTCATATGGGAGTCTGGAAACTGTAATAAATATGATTAATACAATATACTGGCTGCTTTGTGTCTGCTGATTGGAGAGGGGTGGGTGCAGAGAAGGAGGCAGAGGAGTCTGTTACCAAGGGAAGACACTGATCTAGAAAGCTGAAACATCTCAGGCTTTCTGCAGTCTCATTGTTGTAACCTTGTGCCTTCTCTTTACCAGAGCTCACACACCTACATCACTATCCTTGAGCTTGCTTTGTTGTTCCGAGTTTATTTGAAGTTCACGCTTAGAAAAGGAAATTGGCCCACGTTGTGAATTATCTCCTCTAAGCTCCAAGCAGTGGTAATTGCTCTGTGAATTTATTCTACCTAATAGCTCACTGGCATTAATCCACTCTCTTCACAACCTGCTGAGATCACCATTGACTCTGCTCACCTCGGAGGATTTTACTGCGTTTGACTCGTTGATCCTCATATGCTTCCAGGAATATCTGAATTTGCCACCAGCTCCTCTGTGCATGTACAGGAAATTGATCTGCAGAGATTTGCCACATTGAGTACTTGATCTCCTCTGTGTGCTTCTAGCGCTGAGTCACCTGAGTAAGGTGGAGAAGCAAAAATGACGTTGATTCTTAGAGGGGGAAACCTCAAGTTAATTGTCAAGACCCAATTCCCTACTTTCAAAGAACACATTAAGTTGGGCGCAGCTGACATCAGGAAGTTTCTAACCACCACGGTGGAGGAAAGGGAGGCAAGACCCAGGTGCTCCAGTTCTGGCCCTTGCTTGTTTGTTTTATATCTCAAAGGCTTGTGATTAAATGAAAATGTCCTCATTAGTCAAAATAAAGTCAGAAGAGTCCGCTAGCTTGACATATAAAATGTACAGTGATGGTTAAACATTGGCAGGGAGTGGAGGCCAGTGGAATGAGATTCATCTTCTGTCACTTCTTTCCCTATGCTTCCTGGGTAGGGTGGCAGGGAAAAAACAAGTTCCTTTTTGCCCATCCCCATTCTCTCGTTGCACGTAAGTGAAGCGCATTTCAGTCTGCTCAGTTACCACTAGGTGGCAGTGGTTTAAAGAGAACTGTTTAACTACAGAGTCCCAGGGGGGGATCTGAGTCTCCAGATCTCCAGGCACTGCTACAATTTATTGTTAAATGCTCACCAGTCTGGACTGAGATAATCAAGAAAAACAAACTATAGTCAACCCAAGTGGCAATATAAACATCTCTTACCACTACTAAATTTACATAATGTGAAGTTAAGGAAGCCTGACCGATGGCAATCAGCCAGCCAACGTGCCCGCGGAAGAGTGATGAAGAGAGAGATGGCCCGCTGTCCACTATGTTAGGGAGTCTGTTGCTGTTCTCACATTGTGGGCTCCTCATTTCTTCGCAGAATACTGTCCGCTCCGCCTGGCCTCTTCCCACTGGGTAGGAGATTACTCCAGGAAAACTGTCTTGATACCCTTATTTCTTAGCCGCTGTCTCGCTTTTGGAAACAATTCAGTTTCCTCCAGTGTTGATGCCTGAGAGCCCATTTATGAGAGAGGTTGCAGTTCTCTCACAATTCTGTGACCAGAATTAAGCCTCCACTCCAAGGCTGCAAGCAAGAAAAGTTTCTAATAGACACAGAAAAGTATGTTGTTTTAGGCTGGGCACTGGGGGCAGGAGGGGTGGGTGGGCAGTGCTGGTAAGTCTTCTAAGCGCTTCACATCAAGGCCTTCAAAAGACCTTCCCCTCTCTATGTCACGGAATAATTTCCCAGGAGCCTATGGTGAAGAGGAATACAGTATGTGAAATAACTAGACGCTGGTCTTCAAATGAACAACTAAAAATAAGATGATAATAAGGAGTTTTATTTCATGCCTTTTTGGACCGTGACAACTTGCATCACATTTCACTCAGTTGTGCTCCGTGAGGGGGCAGAGGACAGAGGATGCAATAAGAAGTACTGTCATTCTTGAGCATTAGAGCCCTGTGTGCCAAGTGTATTACACACATTGCCTTGTTCAGATACAGCCACTGTGAGGAGAAGATTTTATCCCCAGTATATATGTGAGGGAACTGAAACAGGTTAAATAACTTACCAACATCTCTCCTGCTAATAAATGTCAAATTTGGGACTCTGTCTCTATCTATTGATTAGATATCTATCTATCTGTTGATTTTTAGCCAGTTGCACCTTAAAAATATCAAATTTCACAGGCATTGAGTAGGAAGCTTTGAGGACAAGCTGAGTCATCCCCTTAGACTAATCAGAAAACAGAGGGCTGAGTTAAACTAGG